CTGACAGGGGAATGTGGTGTTACGAGTCAATTAGATATAGAGAAACTGGCAGGGGGCTAAAATTGTGTGGCCATCATTACCAACTGAAAAAAAATGATGATCAATTGAGGGGATCTGGATGTAGGCCCCCCAATCAGGCACTGTCTTCAGGGTATACTAATGCTAGTCATGTGGTCATGTAACTTTTAATCAGTTACGCTAACAGTTAGTGTAACTTTTTCACCAGTTACGCTAACAGTTAGTGTAACTGAGGGTACCACTACACTAACTGTTAGTGTAACTTTGCAAAAAGCTACACTAACATGTAGTGTAGTGGGTTCACCCACTAACACCACTAAAACTTCACTAACAGGATTTTGGGTAGTGTTAGTTGTGCCTTTTTAAAGATAGCTAACACTACGCTAAAGTTTTTTTTTTGTTTTTTCAAAAATCCTGTAGTGTTAGTGGGCCAAAAATTCCCGCTAACGGTAACTTTTGTGTAGTGTAGCTTAAAAAGCTAACACTACGCTGCACTAACGCTACGGTTAGTGTAACTGGCCCACCGTTGAATGAATTCAAAAACAGAAAATTAAGAAATCAAGTCAACACTTTCATGCAAAAGTGGTCTTTAGCAATTACTAATGGAATGATTTTTTCTGTTTTGGAATGAACATCACATTCAACTGTATCAGAAGTGGGGGCAGTGCATGCCTTTAAGGTTTACACAAAGTGGCTGGTAGAACTTCAATGGGAAATGTGGCAATGATTTCACCAAGAAAAACACAAACAAAGAAAATTTTCTGCAAGCAGTATCTCCATAATTTGTCTTGAAAAACAGGCTTCTGGTTAAATCTCTCTAATATGTTTTACAAACCATTAAAATTATTGAAAATGTGACAAATTATGATTGCTTTGATTAAATTAAATGAGCCTTTCTTTTCTGAAGGATTGAGATTAAACTTTGTTTGCAGTTTTATCATTTGCTGCGTTTGCAGTTGCATCTTTTGCTGCGTTTGCAGTTGCATCCTTTGCTGTGTTTGAAGTTGCATCTTTTGCTTTGACTGCAGTTTCTCCAGCATCTTTTTTAGTCTGCGCAGCTGCGTTGGCATCTTTAGTAGCAGACGCAGACCCCGCAGCTGCGTCCGTAGACGCACCCGCGGTTGCAGATCCTCCAGATAGCTCGATGAGCTTCAAGTTGGCTGAAGACGCGGTTTGCAAGACGAGTTAAAAATTGATGTCAGTCACAACTTCCTGATCAAGCTTTTAGATGCAAGGACTCTATCTGACCTGGTACAACATGTTTACGACCTTCAACAACCAAGTCAGCCGCCTTTTTAACAGCAGCTGGGTCTTTTGCATTGGACTCAATCAGTTTGAATCCTTGACTACACGAACCATCAAGACATTCACATTTTTTTTAGCTTTTTCTCATCCTATATTCTTATTTGCTGGTGGTTTCTGCATCACTTCCAGCAACTGAAGGTTCCACTTACACTACTTTTGATGGTCCATTGTCCCTAACCTCTCCTAATGCCGCCATTGCTGCCTTAGCATCAGTGGCAGCACTGGCCAGTACCTCTCTAGCGAACTCCTCACCTGCTTCCTATTTAATTTTTTTATCATAAATGTTTTATCAATTTGGTGATCGAGAATAGAGATAAGTGATTGAGAATTTTTTTCTAACCTGTACCAACGCTTTTTTAGCAGCTTGCTCAATTTCTTCGGGTTTAGAACCTTCCTTCTGAATGATTGCCATTTGTTCATCCACAATCTTTGTTTGGCTTGCCAGATTCTTCTGTTGCTCTTCTATTACTTTCTTTTGAGCGGCATCCGTTATATTTTTACCGATCGCTTGTTGACTTGGACCGATTGCTACCTTAGAAACCAGGCTTCGACTAGCTCCTGGGATTCCGCCCATCAGATCAAAGTTAGCAGGAACTACCTGAAGCCTACGAGGCAGAAGTAACGATTTAGACATTTTGCTTCAGTCATTTGATTCGATGGATACCAGTAACTTACCGGGCGAGTGTAACTTTTGACAATTCTTCCTGGACTTTTGTCTTATCCTCCGCGTTCTTATGTATATCTTTGAAAGCTTGACTTTTTTGTGTAATGAAAAATGATTTTATTTTATTTTAATACTGAGTTTCCGATGTATAGCCAAGTATCAAGCTGAGTCAAACAAAAAGAAAACAGAGAAAAAAATCGCGTACACAACGATCGGGCCTTTATCCCTGATTACAGCAAGTGACCCTTGGGCGGCTTCTGGATCTTGGGCCACACTAGCAAGCTAAAATTACAAAGATTTATCGCTCAGTTTACGAGATTTTAAAACCAGAGGAATCAAGCAGCTCACAGCCTGCCTCGGGAAATCCTCTGCATCTTCATTCTTCAATGCATCCGCGGCTGCCTTTTTTATATCTTCTGTCGTCGAGGCAGGATTCTAAGGAAAGTGAATTCCATTATTATATTTATCATCGGTTTGCAATATAAAAAAAGGATCAATTTTCTCCATTGAAGGTATTGAATTACAGCCAACTCCTCATACCTGAATTATTAAGACGTCATTATCGACGTTCTTGGTAGCTTTAAATAGGTCAGAAGCGGCCTGTTTTACGGTATTGGCACTATTATTTCCCCCTTCGTTGGCTGATTCTTTCTTGTCTTTCGTATCAACTTTTGCCGTTTCCGCCTTTTTGATTTCCTTCTCAGCAGCTTTTAGTTTTTGGGGACTTCGAGCTAGTAGTGCTTTATAGGACCCACGTCTCCGAAGCCTGCTCCAATAAGACGGAGAAGATATTGTTAGTTTTTATTACAGAATCCTTTTTGAAAATTCTCATAACTTCACAAGGTTAATTAATACTTACGGTCTCAGTTCATGAAGACCTGGAGTGAGTACAACATCTTGCAGATTTAATGGGGCACTATTGACCCTAATTTCTGCGGCCATTAAGGCCACATAGAGAAAGCTAAGTAAATTGGTTAGTTTGGACATATTGTCGTGGAAATTAAATAAATTGATCTAGTGAACGTGTTCAAGAATTCGGTAGAAATTCAGATGATGAGTATTAGCCAAAGATCAACTTTGCGATGACAGGGAAGGTTCGCAATGAGCACAGCTCAATTGAATACTTGTAAGTTATAGATAACTTATCAAAGTAGAATGTAAGTGATGGAACTTATGATTGTCTTTGAGTGGATGCGGCTTGCTTCCAGATTGATTTTACGGAGGTACTTATACGACGGTGTTCCGCTACCAACAGCCATCCTCATCAGTAGCAAGGAATACATGATAGTTGTTAATTGCGATCTTGCATTAACCATTGGTACATTAACAATCCTTGGCTACCTACCTCGGTACTTGATTGTAGTCACCACTTGTTCAACCGATTTGTAGTCGTCGATCGAATGAATGCCATTGTGTGGATTTTTAACAACGCCCGCTGGGGTGCGGTGGTTTGAAGTCGATCTCACCAAAACGCAATGCGGTTGAGTCTTAACAACGCTACGAGCTTGGTGCGGCAACTAAGATGATTTTGGAGCTCAAGGTTCACAACCATCAATTTCTCTCCCCGTCGTCTTATTTTAAATTTGCAATCAAAGAATATGGAGTAGCTAGAATTAGTCGTCATGGCTGATTCAAATGTGATAGCAAGTGACCAGAAGTGAGCGATGTAAATTCAAGTACGTGCATATTTTCAGTCACATCAATTTAAAAAGCCTTATAACAATCAGCAAAGCCTAAAAATCAGTGTGATAAACCCGTGTACCCATATGTTGCGAAGCATTAAGCACCAACGTCCGGGACCCATGGAGACTTTCATTGTCTGCGATCAGCTTTGATTCTCAAGTGGGCTTGATGATCAACCAGGGCCCGCGACACCAGTTGATCAGCAAGCTACAAGAGGACCCAGGAAACCCCTTATAAATGTCAGTAACACTAACCCAAAATTTGAACATTTTTGGAGTTCATTTAAACACATTAGGGCAGTTTAAATTGGGAACTTTAACAGCAGTTAGCCAATACTGACGAAAAAAAAATTCATCAAGTTATACATTCATCAGAAACATCAGAAGCACCTTGAACATAATGTTTAAGATTTTTATGAAAATTTTATCATCAGCATCAGCAAACTGATGTTCAAGCTTCAAATGTGAACTGCCCTGCTTTGTGCTCAATCTCACAGTTGAGCCAAAAGATTCACAAACGTTGTGCGGAAACATACCCTTTTTGCCACCAGGAGGCCAAAATTTCATATATTTTCTGTGGTTACACTTTTTCCCACTGGGAGTTGTACTGGATGGATGAGTGGAGATTGATTGGAGTAATTGATTCCATAATTTGTCCATCTTTTCCCTCATCCTTTCACTTAGTTTTCCTTCTCCTTGATCAAATTCACAAGATCAAGCAATTTTGAACAGACAAGACCAGTAGTATTATAATGACATATGTACGTATATCTTCTCAAAAAAAAACAGAGCTTTACTGAATACAGCCGTTTCGAGAAAGGTTGTGGTTCGCAAGCCGGACTTTTTTTTATTTTTTTTATTTTTTAGGGGCTGAATACAGCCCTGTATAGGAGCTGGATTACTTCCAATTCTTTGTTTACAGAAGAAAACAAAGGATTGGAAGACATACAGTCGACATACAGGGCTGTATCAGACTCTAAAAAATAATAAAATAAAAAAATAAAATAAAAAAATAAAAAAGTCCGACTCCCAAGCAGCAAGCTTTCTCGAAACGGCTGTAAATCTGATGTAAGGCAGCAATTATAAACCACTTTTTTTTTTGAGTTTTTTTTGGGCCTTAATAAAAAAACGCGGTTTTTCCGCGTTTTGACGCGGTTTTGATGCGCCACAGCACACGCGGTTTCCGCGTTTAGACGCGGTTTTATTAATTAATTTTTTACGGCTTATTTTTCGAGTTTTTTTGATTTTTTAAAATTGTTTCATAGGTTTCCAAGCGTGTAGAATTTAATGGTAAAAACCATTTTCCGTGAAAATGAATTTTGATTATTAATTTTTTTTTTCCACTTATCCAAGTATATTAAATCCAGTACTTTGTACCAAAAAAATTCAAAGGTTTCCCCTAAACCCAATCCACACAGAAAAGAAAAATGTCTCCCTCCACGTTTGCTGAAACTCCACAATGGATAAACAACTCAAAAACCACTTCCCAGCCCCCCAACACCAGCAATGCTGATGCACTTGGGCTCAGTGTCCAGCTCATGTCAAAGCATGAGTCAAAAACACTGGACATGAAGGCCCCCAGCTTGCACGGAATCATGCAAGCCAGTGGGGGGCCAGCTTGTTAATGACCAAACTGCACAACTGTGACAGCGGGACACAGGAGGGGCTTGACCACGGAAAGTCAAGGTACACACCCCTGACATCCCAAATGCTCAATTCATAGCTCTATTTATAGAAGCAGCCCGTAGGTGTACCGGCCACCCTTCAGGCATTGAATTTGACATGCCACGGCTTTCCGATTGCATCCACCCTACCACACGCTCATCAGGTCGCAAGCCTCAAAACACCAAACCCATGTCAACAGTCACCACAACTCAGGTCACCACCAAGCAGCCTCGCCATCACACAAGCCAACCCAAACCAAACTAGGTACGAGTACTGCACACTGAATCCCCTGCCAACCGTCCATTAATCCAAGCAACCCTCATACTAACCAACAATTCTACTATTTTACCATACTATACAGTTAAACGCCCAGCCAAAACCTAGAAACCTTGCACCCTGAGTCAATTGTACTGCGTTCGTTACCATCCTCAAGCCAGCAACTATCATACTTCACCATCGCAACAGTCAACATTCAGCTTATTGGCATTCCAACATCCCCACAACCTCGACACATCCATGTAACAGTCGGCTCAACAAAGCAACTC